CCCTTTAGAAAAATGCAATAAGAGGTATATGGTTGCTTTATCTTGGTGGGGCTGCCCTGGATGCATTGAAGTTTGGAACTAATTGCAGTTGTATATGTTGGGATCCTCCCTATTGGAGTCCGTATTGTTGTTGTATTATTGTTTTATGACACTGAAATGTATGGAAGTTAAGGGTTTGATTCAATGTTATTTGAACAGAAAGGGCGGGAACCTCCGGGATATGATTGATATGAGGATTCTTTTTGGTTGTGTAATTCCCATCTCTCTGTTCTCTATTCAGTCGCTGGTCGCTTTGAACACGCAAGGGTGTATCATGGGGAATAATACAAAGGTATTGAAGGCTATGAAATTAAACAAGTCTCCTGGTAATAATGGCCTTACAGTTGAATTTTATATTACGTTTTGGTTAAGTATCGAAAATATTTTGGTAGATGCTTTAAATGAAGGTTATGTCATGGGGGGTTTATCCATATCACAAAAACAAGGGGTTATTACTTGGATTGAGAAGGAAGGGAAAGACCCTCGATACATAACAAATTATAGGCCGATCACATTATTAAATGTTGATTACAAAATTGTGTCAAAGGTGTTAGCTACAACAATTAAAGGAGTACTTGAGGAAGTCATACACATAGACCAGGTGGGCTACATGAATAATCGTAATATTGGAGAAGCGGTACGTTTAATTGATGATATTTTCTGTTTTTTGAATGAGGAGTCAGATGATAAAGCCTGTATTTGATTGCAGCTGATTTCGAAAAAGCATTCGATTCCGTATCTCATACTTTCCTCTTTAGAGTCTTAGAAAGGTTTGGGTTCGGTCCCTCATTTTGTTCGTGGGTAAAAACTATTACAGTAATATAAGTAGCTGTGTATGAATGGGGGTTTCGCTACCGGATATTTTGATATTAACCAAGGGGTATTATTCTCGCTATTGAAAAAATGACATCAGTAGTGAGGAATGATGAGGCTATTAAATGCGTTAATATTGGAGGAATTGATGTCAAACAAGTTTTATATGCAGATGACATTACAATATGTTAGAAATAAAGAATCCGTAGAAAGAGTAAAGGAGATTTATACGTTATTTTAGAAAATCAGTGGTTTACGGGTTAATGCGGACAAAACTAATATTATGAAATTGGGGATAAACAAAGACAATTCAGAAAAACTTCCCTTTGGGAATGTGGTTAAAGAAATTAAGGTTTAAGGGAGTGTATTTTTCGTTAGACGTCATAATAAGAGAGGAATTGAATTATAAGGAGATTTTAAGCAAGATTAAAAGACTTCTCGGATGGTGGAAACAGAGGGACCATACGGTGTTTGGAAAAATTCATTTATTAAAAACATATGCATTCATCATCATCAACTTCAGGTGGCGCTGTAAAGCGCTGCTGTGGTCTTCACGAGAGCACGCCATGCAACTCTTTCACCTGCCATTTGTGTTGCACCTTTCATTCCTTGTCGAGACACTTTCTTGATATCATCAGTCCAAGATATTGGTGGACGACCTCTGCCCCGTTTTCCTTCGACTGCTCCTTGCAGTATTTGCTTCTCAACACCTTCAGATCTCCTAACAATGTGCCCAAAATAGTTTAGTTTTCTTTCCATGATTCCCCTTCTGATGGTCAAGTCTGTTCCAATCTTTTCCAGGACCCAACATTTGTCTTTTTATCTTTCCATGACACCTGCAACAGCCTCCTGTAGCACCACATTTCACATATGCATTATGTAAATTAAATTACGTTTTTGCTTCCATAGTGGTTCCAAAGTGGGTAATATCGGAAATACAGAAAATATGTTTTGAATTTATATGGAATGGGAAAGATCGAATTAAGAGATTAATATTGTATCAAGGTTATGATGAAGGAGGGTTACGAATGACTAATTTTGACTAGTTTGTAAAAACCCAACGGGTAATGTGGGTGAAAAATCTATGAGATGGAAGCTATACTTTGATTTCTGCTTTAAGATGGTAGGGGGTAGATTTATTTTTTGTGTAACTATGATTCCAAGTTATTCAGTTTCAAAGTACCTAAGTTCTATTTAGAAATGATCAAAGCATGGGAAGAGTTAGAAGGTTGTAGGAATTTCGAAGAAAAGAATAATCCAATTATTTTTAGCAATAAAGATTTCTTATTGAAAAAGAAAATGATTTTTGATGAGGAGTTGTTTACACGGAATATAATTTTAATTCAAGATATTTTTGCTGAAAATGGCATGCGGGCAATATCTCATTTTCAAAATTTGGGGTTAAAAGGAAACAAAATTGTTGATGTATGAAATATTGGGGAAGCTTTTTTGAGAAGCGGAAAAAAGGATAACTGGAGTTTAGTGGATGTAAAAGAGTATGATATTTTAATGCAATTTAACAGTACTGTGAAGCTCCTCAGAGATGTATTATCGAGGAAGGTCTATGAATATTTCATAGAGAAGTTACAAAATTGATTTGTCTTGAAGATTCATGATGGACGGGAATTTTCAGATTTTTCAAATAAGGTATGTAGGGAGATATTTAGTAGGCCTAGGAAAGTTACTCTTGTTAACAGACTATGAGAAATTCAGTATAAACTGATTCATGGAGCAATATATACTAGAGAACATTTATTCAGATTCGGTTTTGTTGTAGATAACTTGTGCTCATTTTGTAAGAAAAAAGATAGAAACATATTTACACTTGTTCTGGGAGTGTGTACATGTTCAAAGATTATGGCAAAATGTAATAGCTAAGTTTGCACTAAGGCAATTTAGGTCTATCGACTGGACAGATATTCATTTAGGGTTGTCCGGTAACTCCCCAAGAATAGAAATGTTTTAATACAATTATTTTTGCATTGAAATAATTAGATATAATTATACACTGTCGCTCATAAAGGTGGAATATTTTTTTTTAACCCCAATTTATGGAATTATTTTAAAAATAATTTAAAAATAATAGATCTAGATAATAGTATACATTCTCAGATTTTATTGAACAATAATTTGCCAATGTGTGTTTTGGGTGACTGCTAAAGCATGTGTATGCTACTATGCTTATCAACTAGGGGACCTACGCCCTTAAGTCATAAATGACAGTAATGAGGATTAATGCCCCACAAAAGGGCACTAATATAGCACATCGACACGGTTTTGATCCTGGGGCCTCACAGTTACGAGGCCATTGCTTTGTCACTGAACCATGACTGTACGCAGCGGGGGCTAGGGTAGGGGGCAGTTTCCATAAATTTAAAAAAAAACAGAAAATGCAATAATTTTTCAATAATTTATTACATTTTACCCCGGTTCCCAACATAAACAAATCTTCTGTGTGCCCATGCCTTGATCCGTAATGCATGGCCTGTCCAGAGGATTGGGCTAGCCCACTTTGGTGAATACGTGTCTGAACAGAAAGTGGAATTAGCTTAACCCAGGACTATAGGTGGGGTTAAGACCTCCTTTTTTAACCCCACCTATAGTCCGGGGTTAAGCAATTTTTTTGCCAGTGTGAAAAGGAAGTGGAACAAGCTTAACCCCGGACTGTAGGTGGGGCTAAGACCCTCCTTTAACCCCACCTATAGTACGCGGTTAAGCAACATTTTGCCAGTGTAAAGACAGTATAAGACCCCCCTTTAACCCCACCTATAGTCCGGGGTTAATCAAATTTTTGCCAGTGTGAAAAGAAAGTGGAATAAGCTTAACCCCGGACTATAGGTGGGGCTAAGACCCCCTTTAACCGCACGCATAGTCCGGGGTTAGGTAACATTTTGCCAGTGTGAAAACGGTATAACCCCCCCCCCCCCCTTTAACCCCACCTATAGTCCGGGGTTAATCAAATTTTTACCAGTGTGAAAAGGAAGTGAAATAAACTTAACCCCGGATTGTAGGTGGGGCTAAGACCCCCCTTTAACCCCACCTATAGTACGCGGTTAAGCAATATTTTGCAAGTGTGAAAACAGGACAATCCGTGGACAATCACAACCGGCCAACTCCCAGCGGTAATTATCCTAGGGGTTAATTTCCCAGGGGTAAGTTTCCTACGGTGGTTATTATCCTAGGAGGGAATTTTCAGAGGGGGGTAATAATCCTGGGGGCGGTTGTATTTGGGATAATTTTCCGTGGGCTATTATCCTGATACGCTTCCTGACAAATCTTTCACTTTATTCAAATTTATTTAAATAATAATAACAAATGCAATAGAGGTAACAGGGTGCCTTATGCCTTTAGGTGTTCCTGTGCAGATAGCTGGAGCCAAACATATAGAAATAAAATCATACGTGACCTTGATCTGTCATCACACACATTATGACACATGTTTAAAGTTTGCTCTTGAAAGGGTGAACTGTCTATACGTCTCCATGCCTATACCCTTGCCCCTTTCACATTTTGCCATTAATTAAGAAGCCAAGCTAGCCTATTATGCGCTATAGCTCAGCTCAGCTTCTAAATGAAAACGGTTCTAGAGAACTTTGAACAAACATCTCGGCTTAAGCCCCTCTGCACTATTTTGGCATGGAGGGATTCGATCTCCCTGTGAGGTCACAGGCAGGTGATTACCTCATCAAATCAGCCCTCAATTAACATAAGAAAAAGGGCATCATCGGGAATCAACGGTTACCGCTTAGGCATTGTTGGCTTTATAGAGGGCGTAAGTAGCTAATATTAGCAGCCTATAATGGGGCTTTAATTACAAATGAATCGTTTTGTCGTTCTGACCAAAGACATGCTATCTCTTTTCTGACTCTCTAGCATTCCACAGAGACATGTCTCTGCATTCAATGTTATCATTATTATTGCTATTATTATTATTATTATCATTATTATTATTATTAATATAAGCCTCTCGGCGAGGTTACACGAGTGATGCCGATCTATCCCAAGACATTTCCTTGAGTTTACGATGGGTTATGACGAATAAGCTCGGGCCCCTCCCTGTCATCAAATTTGACAAACAGTGGGAGGAGCTTAAGTGGTATAAATACCGAAGCCAACCCGTTCCTTGGACAGTCGAAAATCACCACGCATTCATCTTCCAATCAAAGTGATTGCAGAAATCTAGCAACACACTTTTCAAGATGAAGTCGCTCTTTGTCATTACTCTAGTTCTATTTTCATGTCTGTGTCTTGTTGGAGTCACCGAGGCCGTTTCTGTTTCAAAGGAAGGTACACAAGATGAAGGTGATGTTTCTGGGCAGGTTTTATTTATATATCATTATGCGACTTATCACTGTAAACATTTTAACTTTGATGTCTTGTACACAAGTGCCGAAACGGGGTAGATATCCTGCTAAATAGCAACATCATTGAACTATATTTTGAGAAGTATTATGAGGATTTTATTTCCCGACCAACGTCATCTTGGCACGAAATAAAACAATTGGTTTAATCGATAACTTTGATCCAGAAGAGCGTTTTCTGGTGTATAATCTAAACCAAAGGTATTGGTTGCGACTGGCCAATCGCAAGTTTCTAGCTTAAGACAGGGACAGGATGATTAAGACATTTTAAATAATGTATAGGATAGGATTGAGAAAGATGGGAGGTGGATAGGATGCGTATATTTTGATGCATAACAACAATATTTTACAAAGTCAAATAAAGTCATTATTTGGCCAAGCCCTTAGGACGAAATTTGGTAAAACAATATTTGCGTGTATGGAGCAAATCATTATCTTTTGTATTTTTGTCTATTTGTTGTATCATCGGGCAGAAATCTAGCCTTTCTAATATATATATATATATTATAATCAGCTGATATGTATCATTGATATAGTTGATAGTCAAATTCTCTGTTTCTACGTAAACGTAAACTTACGTAATTGATTCTGATTGGCGTCGATACCTTTTATTCCTTGTTTAACCTTTTATAAGGAATACGGTTGACCAAATTGGGCTAATAAATTTATGATATAGAAGGTAACGGCCAAAACATTGTACTAAGAACATGTCCAAGATAAACAAGATTTTGATAAAATGTTATAAAAAATTGATCACTTTCTCCAAAAAATGTTAATAAGTTATTGCGCCAAAAATGTGTTTATTCTTTCTCTCTCTCGCTCTCTCACCCCTCATTTTCTTTTTCTAGCCAACTGTTTATATTCCCTACCTTCACTATGCACCAACCCCGTCCATCTCTGACCCCATCTCCTCTATCTTCCTTTATCTTATTCCTTTCCTCTACCTTTCCTTCTGTCTCTTAATTACCCATACTCCCCCTATCTATGCATCTATCTAATCTTATGGATCTCCTTTCATCACAACGCGTACATCTCTCTGTTTCTCTCTTCTCGAATGTAGCTTTTGATCCTGAAAACATTCTAGATTCAGGCAAACTGACCCAGACAGAAGAGGATAAAATCTCTGAAATTAGAAAACAAGTATTGTTCCTTCAGGTATGTGCACGTTTTGTTATAAGTATACATCTTTGCTTTCCTCATAAGACCAGTTTGTATAAAATCGCACTAAAATTATGTCAGAGCACTGATTCATAAAACTTGTTATTATGTTGCAGTAATGTTGCATTTGATTGGCTGAGAGCAACTTTGTTATAGAAAAGTGACACTTCTTATTGACAGCAAGTTTTTTGAAACAGGGCCCTGGCTTAACTTCAGTGGAATTTTATAGATGTGAAGGTTCAATCCTCGTGGAGCTCCAAATAGTTTCCTCCAACATGCAATATCTAAGACGTGATATTTCTGTTTAATTTTTTTTGTTTGGACGTCATTTTCTTTAGTAATGCATGGAATCCATGCTTAAAATATTACAAAAAATACTAAGGAATAAAATGTAGGGGTACAGGCCAAGCGCAATTTAAAAGGAATTAAATTTCATTTTTGGCTCAAAATTTGAAAGAATGTTTTACAAAAAAAATTGACCGAAAAGTGTGATAACAATTTGTATCAGCTGAAAAAGACCTTTCAAGTGATATACTTTTTATTATGAGTTTGATTTAATAACGCTGTTCCATATACACGTGAAAGTTGGATATTACTCCAAGCAACGAAACATAGAAGTGCAAATTATTTTCCAGGATTCTTCAAAGTCATTGATTGTGCAAATATAAAATCTGGGGTCGAAGATTCTATTTCATACTTAATTTCTTTTTCTTCTAAAATATTACGAAACTTGTAAAGAACTTAATGTTTAATTTTAAAGAAATATGCATGACGCACATAATACATGCTGACAGTTGGAGCGGTATGACAAATTGGACAATACTTGAAATATACAGAATATTCCGTCTTCTTTGAAGCAATCGAAATAGGGATAAGAGTTCATATAGATATATATGTAAACTCAAGACTTTGGTGATATGTGTGACTATGGCTTCAGATCTAGGATGATGATTAATGAAATGAGTAAGCACACTCTTCTGACATATTTCGTTATTTTATATGGTTGGACGGATCAACATTGGATAGAGTGCAACACCTACATATAATAGATGAATAAGAACATAGACAAAAATTACACACTCAACAAAATAAAAACAGCATTACCCATCACCCATCACCGATAAATTATTTGATCCATTCTTTACACTTTACCCAGGATTTTCATGTTTCCCTTTTTATCTTGGTAACATTTCAGCAACCAACTGAGAAATATGATAGTCATGTTGGATGTAGCATAGCAATAAATCCTAGCACATGTATCGCAAAAGATAACTATGATAGTAAGGATAAGAATGTATACTAGGCCATCACATGTACCACTATGCTACTGGCAATGATGATTACGCTGCTGCTGATGCTGATGATAATAATATTATTTTAATGATAACAATAATGATAATACTAATAACAATAATACTAATAGTAATAATGATAACGATACCATTTGCAATTACAATAATTACAATAATAAAATGGTAACAACAGTAACAATACAAATATGAACCAGACATTGAATTCGTCACGGCGACGAATTAGGTGATCTGCCGCTTCGATCGAGACATAACACATGTAAAAAGTTTAATGGGATGTTGTTGTTTTTTTAAAGATTTCAACCCTACATTCACATAACATGCATATGAACAAGCTCATCTAGTAGTAAATCAAGGATGTAGAAACATTAAAAAATGATTTTGCTGACTATTATTTTGAAAGCAAAGTCAGAGAAGAGGAAGGGAGTTGAATAGTAGAGTTAACCAGATTGAGAGATAAGAGAGAGAGAGAGAATGTTAAAACACAACACTCACAATGGGATATGCTACACTACACGGCCAATTACCTAATAACACAGAGTCAATGAGAAATTCGGACTTTCACAAAAAATTCCCTCCTCCATTCGTATAACAAGTAGAAGGTCTGAACCGCGTAAACTGTCTATGACGTATATATATATAAAAAAAAAAAAAAAAAAAACATAATGGGGTAAAGCACGTAAAGCACGGAATTTTGACCACGTTGCCGTCTTCTGATCAAAAACATACAAGTAGAAGCTCTGAAACGTGTAGACTGTCCTTGGTTACGCGGCAGATAACCCAATAAAATAATGTTTATGTATAGAGCTCCTTTTCTTAAGACACAAAGCGCATCAACAAGAAATACATGAGAGGAGAGATATAGACAAATGTTGGTTTACAATGAATGAGCCGTGCTGAATTATGTAAGAGTAGTTGAATGGGTTTAAGGTAACATAAGCGATACACAATTGCATTTGATTCTCATTTAATACATGTAATTTTGTTGCAACTCTATTACAAATTTGTTATAACTCAGCCACACCGCCAGCCCGACTCAAACCGACTAAAGGGTAAAAGGGTCATGTGATTTTTCTGTTGGTGTGTGTGTTTTCTTTATACCGTCCATATAAAGGATTTAAACAGGGGCGTTAACATTGCAGGTGACGGGATCCAAGCATTTATTCCCCTCGCAAGTTATGGGATTTTTAATCTCAATAAGATTGGATACCAAAGAACTCACGGAAGATCACGTTCCATGATGATAGGCTGATTAAACAAATCTTATTTATTCTAGTTTAGGGACATAATTGTATGACGTGAGTTTTGTTAGCGTTTATTAGTGTCGTTGTTCTTTCTGATGGATACATAAGATTCTTATCTTAATAAAAGATTATAGTCCTACCATAATTACCGTCAATTATAGCTTTGACAAATAACTGACTCATGTTCTTTTTGTCAACCTCGTGACATCGAAAATGCCAGATAATCCGTGGATGTAGATGTTTCAGTATCAGAATGTGTTAGTGTTTTTTTCATTTAAAACGGGGAATTGGGCTTATAATTTGCAGTTGACTTCCTCTTTTCCTTTAAAATGTGAAATTATGATTCACTCAGCATTTTAAAATTCAAAGTTGATGATGTCATCAAATGTATAAAACAAAAACTGAAAGAAATAATTGCAAGTTCCGTCACAACAACCCAATAGCCTTCTATATTAGTGCCCGGTTGGCACACATAGGGTCACGCTAGCCACTCTGCCCAATCGGATGATTAATTGAAATTAATATGGAATGTAGTAAGAGAGAGAGAGAGAGAGATAGAGAACGAAAGTGAGGAAAGGAAAGGGAAACTGAAATAAAAGAAAATAATAAGCAGATAAGGAGATCTGCGATCCCCTATAAGCCCTCCGCAGTTCGTCCACCTATTGTTGGTAAGAACAGCGCCCCCCTCCCCCCCCCCCCCCCCCCGATTAACGTTATGGTGCTACGCCACTGCCCGCCCAAAGTTATCATGATTGCAATGTTTTTATTAGAACTCCTGTACCTGGGAGCAACGATTAAGTTGTCTAAAATGACAAATTATCTTTCCAAAGGGTCCCATCAATTTTTAGGAGTTTATATTTGCTTTTGGGATGACATACAAGATATTATATCTCGTATGTCAAATATTGTCAAATCATTATCTCTTCGATTTTAACTTTGCCCCGCGGATAAAGCAATACAAATATATATTCAAACAATATGTATTTGTTCGTGGTGTTACTCTCTGAACTTTAGAAAGGGTGTTTTCGTTGTAGAGGCCAAGGTATGTTCATCAATTACTCTATATTGGAATGATCGAGGTATTTTAGCAAATAAAGCATAGCTAATTGCTCATTCGACCCTCCCAATCAGATAGAAGTAAGAATGTTAGTTCTACTTTTAATACATGAATATTCATTCCTGTGAAATAAACTGTGACAGGAAGAATAGTGAAAGGAGTAATCCCTTGGTCAAGCTTTCATTTTAAACTCCAAAATAATTCCCTAGCTGGAGTAATGAGCCATCAAAGGAAAGTATGATTTCCCTGATGATAGAAAAATGATGTCTGTGCTCTTGTTCCACTGCATACGCTAATGAGAAACTTGTTTCTGCATATCTGTGTAAGAAAAAATCTTGCTAAAACCTATTGGCCTGCTAGGTTCGTCTAAACCTCGATTATTTTACAAATCAGACCACTCAAATTCTTTTTTTCTTTAATAACTAATATCACTAAGCTAAATGATCTATTGTAGCCTTATATATAAAGATATACAATATTTTAAATATATTCATAGATATCAAATGTGTACTTAAATCATCAATCATTAATCTGCTGATAAGAAATCGATTGTGAATAAATCTTATATGTGAACCTGGGCTTAAAGGGGCTCGGTTACATTGTTAAGATGTGAGAGAGTGGTGCTAAGATAGTGACTGCAATGCTAGATGTACAATTAAAGATAATCTGAAAATTTGAGTGAAAACGGACCATTATTCATGGTACAAATAGGGAAAAACTGATCTGATCGATTCCTTAATTCTCCCAACTATATTATTACAATTTAATTACGTTTTAGATGAATGGAAATCGTCACAAAGCAATAAATGGCTCTACATTCCATTCCAGACAATTAAGTGTTGAAAGATTTTTTATAGCCTGTTTTATATCCTTTTTTCATGGAAGAACGGTTGGGAAAATTCTAAAATGGTTGGGAGAATTTACTATTAATCACTGTTAGAGGGTGTCATACATCGACCTTTTTAAAGAAAACCATAGATATCTTCGTGGTTTTAGAATTTGTTCAGGTGAGAGGGTTAGTACAGTAGAAGGAATATAGTAAGTAACATTATATACAAACATTAAGCAATTTTTTTCATCAACCTTCAACAATGTTACCAAGTCACTAATTAGACTACTATCACTGGCGGATGTTAGTTATTCTGCTTGTTTTTGTTTATTAAAAAGTCACATTTTTTTCTCTTTGGAGGGGGGGGGGGGGTGAAAGATAACTTTGTTTAAGATTCCGTTTCCATGGCAACGGCCTTTGAATAGGATGTTACTAAAAACGCCTAAAATGTTTATTATAATCAAACTGACGGCTAAAGTTATTAGATGCTTTAATTATACTATTTTTTTGGTGCTGCATGTTGAAGATCATTTTGATAATATTTTTAAAAATTCCAATATTTCTTGATTTATTTTCTGTTACTTCTTTAATAAAGAAACATTGTGTCAATAAATTTAATAATTGTGTGTAAAAAAACTTTGAAATATCGATTTCATAACCCAAATTCTGAGTTAATCGCTCTTATATGATTCATTGCACCATACATATATGTGTGTAACATTCAAAATTAAGAGGTACATTAAACAGATTTATCAAATCAAACTCATAATGAAAATTATATCAATTGAAAGGTCGTACTCAGATAATGCATATTCGGTCAGAAATATATTTTGTTTTAAATCGTGATTTTGGACATTCTTTCAAATTTTGACCAAAAAATAACATTTTTTCTTCCTCTTGTATTTTTGCAAGATTTTTTTACATGGATGCAATGCACCCCACCCCCTCCCCCAAATGCCGAGGAATCTTATTCTAAAGCCTTTTTGATGTTTTGCTGTCGTCACTCTTTGTAAGTTGATAAGGTCTGGGATAGATAACACCACTATCGCCTGTGTCCGTTGCATACGAGGCGTAGTTCGATTCCGTAATTACCCTAGCTAAGCAGCACAGTGAAGGCAATGCTTATAGCGAATTCAACACGATGTGTTAACTTTTGATTTTGCATTAAGTTAACGCCACCTCAAATGGCGCCTAAAAGACCACGTCAGTCGCCTCGCGCGGTCCGACTGCGTCGTTTATGGGCATAAGTGAATCGAGTGAGTCCACTAATGTACCAAACACTGAGCGTCAACCTTTTAAACACTAAAAACGTGTCACATTTCGGAAACCAAATAGAAAAGGAAAAATCAATATCATCAGGGAATTAATTTCTCATTTTCATTTAACGACCAAACGAGTGAGAATCTGAGTTTCCTGGATGGATGGTTAGCGTTAATCATTATAATTTCATGTCGGACAACTCTCTATTCCTTTTTTAAAGAACGTTTAATTGTTATCCTTTGTCCTTTTTTCCGTCGTACATTTCATTACAAATTATTCGAGAGTTGTCAGTCACCCGACACCAGGCATACGACGCCAACTTCTATAGAGATAGGTTTCTATGTTTATTGTACCATATACATTGATTTCATTTCTAACGGATTTTAGAGAGTATTTTATACGAAAATAAGTTTTATTTTTAATTCGCTTTCAGACCTAATTTTCGGTCATCTCTTTTATGAATCATTAAAATCTTCAAAATCTACTCATTCTACTCGAAGGTATACCATTTTTTTGTTTTGGGCCAAAATGCCTATTATAGTCTATCGGCAACTTGAAAAGATTTGAAAAGTACCTTCATCACAATGCCTTAATCAAAGAAAATAATATCAAGGGTACGTATTAGTGACTTTCTTTCTAAAAACGTGTATCTTAACTTTTTCAACTACAAAATCATGTAGGAATCCGTTGCTGAGATCACCCGTTCCTTCTTAACTCTCGAGCTCGTCGCGAAGAATCCATCAATGATGGCCAAGATCCACATTCCTGACTCTCTCGAGACCGAGTTCGAGCTGGGACAACCTGCAAAGGCACGACGTCGAAGGGAAGTCGACTCGCCATCGACTCTCCCGAAATCGTTACATTCTTCTGGTGCCGAGCAGCCAAGCTTGGATGAGAACCCACTCGGACCATACTCTGGTATGAAATCGAGGTCCCAGTTTCTTAAAATTTCTTATTAATAACATATGCTTAAATTATATGACAAAGATCCTCTTAGCGAATCTAATGCAATGAATTTAGTATAGCTTAAAATATAGTAATTGATAAAAGGTACATGAAGGCGCAACTATAAAGAAAATTAGTTCGTGCACCAGGAAATCAAATTTTCATGTTGCATTTACCTTTCTCGAATTAGGATACTCTCACCAGGCACGTCAAGACGGGTGTTTAACCTCGCAGATCATTGAACTTGATATGAAAGAAATATGTTGTTTCATCTTTAGGTGAATGTTTCATGTGTCCTCCTGGTGTTCCTGGACAAAGAGGTCCTTCAGGCCCTCAGGGGGTTGCAGGAAGGGACGGTAGAGACGGAAGGGATGCACCGACGAGTCCACAAGGTAGGTCTAAAACGACATCAATCTCAAACGATATAGGTTGTAGAAGATTCATAATTGTGATATTGTTATTGTTCAAGACGGAGAATGCATAGCTAGCAAAATGACAGTTCAAGTTATTAGAAAACACTTCGGATATTGTAACTCATGTGTTGTCTTCGGTAATTTACACAATGGAGAGATACTAAAGGCTTATATCAAAAATAAAAAATATATGGAGACGGATAGTGGGAGGTCACTCGTGGGTATTTTGTTTAACACATTCTTATGTCATAACATTAGTCATTGATAATGGTGAGAACATAAGCCGGGCAAATTACACAAAAATATCTTTGAAGCTTTAGCGGCTTTTTTAAATTAACCACATTTGATTATATCCGTTATCAAAAGCCTCCGAAGTATAATAGTTCTAAATGTTTAACATTTTAGCTGAGGAAAAACCCACTTCACCAAGCGACGGTGATGATTTAGTGCATCCAGTAGGTAACATGACTGGTATCATCTATACTCGCTGGGGTAACGATAAATGTCCCGAAGATGCAGAACTCATCTATTCAGGTTGGTACAGATGGGCAATATCACATGGTGGGAAAACTCTGAACATGGCTTTGACACCATCGCAAGGACTTTCTGAAAATCGACCACAGGCAATTTCAGTGGCCTTTTCCGTCTCTCATATTGAAATCTGCAAAAACTTTCAAAGTTCGAGGTTTAAGGTTTAAATTTATTTTCATCTTTATCATATGACATAAATAGTAAAACAGTGCATTACCAAAATTGGTAAAATAAGGCCATTAAAAAAAATATACATGCTGAGCGTCCCCGCCCGCTTCCTTTTTGGGGGCCGCCTCCTATTTATTTATTGTTTTGATTGTTTTTTGTTTTGTTTTGTTTTTTTTAAAGAAAAAATATATGAAAAACGCTGCTAAATGGATCTATTTCTGATTTTTTTTTTCAAATATAAAAAAAATGTCGGCCGCCATCATGAAAAATAGTCTGAATGTCAGGGAAAATGTACCGAGCGACCATTTTGAGCGGCCATTTTGAAAGAAAAAAAAAGGGGCCTCCTCCTTCCTATTTTTCGAAAAAACAGGACGCTAAACATGTTTTTTTTAAATTGGCCTAATAATGTTGCAATATTTAAATGATGTGCATACTGCTTTGTTGAACATAATATACATTGCATCATTAGAAAGAATTGTAAAAAAGACGACTGTCGATCTCGATTGTAGGCCTAGATCTCCATGTAAAGAAGAGATGACGCCCCTTTGGAAATATAGAAATAAAACTTCTCTTTCATAAAACACCTCATTTTTTTAGTATCACCTTCAAGTTCATGATCACAAGCAATACAGGTTTGCATCTCGATTTCGAAATAATTGTGTTAATGCACGTAGATCTAAACTGCATAGGGATATATGCGTGCAATCTCAATTGCGCGCGATCAGACACCATATTAAGACTATGTCTCGATAGCGTAAACAAACTTGATTACCATGATTGGTAAGTCTTACATGTATTCTATGACCCATAACCAACCATGAGGCTTAGCCCAAGTGGAATATTTAGATGCCATCATGGGCAGTTGAGGTGTCGTAGATTATGTCATCAGGCAGTGGATCATGTGGTTCGATATTCTAATCTTAGCCCTGATATTTATTTACATTCGCCACTCTCCACCCTGGTCTAAATGGGTACCTGGTAGGAATTTATTTCTTATTTCCACTAGCATTGGTCCTACCTCGTTCTTAAGTTAGATTCCGATGAGTTTGATCTTTAGTGTGAATACCTTTTTTGTATATTTTGATTTATGATTTATCCAGGTACTATTGCAGGTGCACACTTCACCCATGCTGGCAGCGGCTCAAATTATCTCTGCATGCCGGACGAGCCTATCTATGACGAAGTAGAAACTTCTAAACATGGTTACCGAGCCCTACTATTCTCCACTGAATACCAAGTCATTACTGGTCCTGCCCGGATGCAGCCAATGAATGACCAGACTCCGACCTGTGCAGTCTGCAGGGCGCCCTCTGGCCGCACCAGCAAACTTATGATTCCTGCCCGCAACGTGTGTCCTTCTAAAGAGTGGCGTTTAGAGTACGCTGGTTATATTATGGCAGAAAAACATAACTTCAAGAGATCGGAATTTGTGTGTGTGGACCGAGAGATGGTTCCCAAAGCGGGTACCCAGGGGAATCAGGATGGTGGGCTGTTGCACCTGACAGAAGTTCGGTGTGTGGTGGGTAATGGCTTGGATTGTGGACCCTACATCGATGGCTACGAAATAACTTGTGCTGTCTGTACTTTCTGAAGTCCTGCTAATAAATATTATGTCATTCAGTATAGTTTGACACGAGAATCGACAACTGTGTCATAAGTTCATGTCATCCTTTTATAACATTTAACATTCAGACACATACCAGTGATAAAGTGTAAACCTTAGTTTTATACACACACACAAGTGATAAAATCTAAACTTTAGTTTCATACACACGACAGTGTAAAAGTGTCTGATAAAATAAGGCCTACTTCGTCGATTGTTCTCTAAATTGTGTTAATGTACATGAATATGAATATTGAATTTCATGATAGATTTTCTCTTCCTTCAGGAAACAATAATTCTTTTGCTACTCTGAATTTTCTGACACAAATGTGTATTAATTCTCACAGAACTTTGACATAATGTTCATTGATCGTTCAAAGATTATGTCAATATAAAATAATCTTCTATAATCGAACGGAATTAAATAGACATTGTCTATATAATTATGATTTCAAAGGTCTTAATTAGGTGTGCTTAATGTTGTCATGTTAAAAGAACGATTTTGAGAAAACAGGTTTGACGGGAGCTTGCTTTAGATCAATCTTATCTGCTTATGGAGATTTTTGTATTCATATCAAGTCTGTCCATCTATGCACGGTCGGGTTCAAATAAATAGGAATGAGTCATCTTTAAGTCATGAGTTACAACTTGAGAATGATCTAGATCGTTAAATAAACAGAGCTCATTGGCCTCTTTTAACCATAGAAATTGATCATATAACGACAGAGTCAGACACAGCTTTAAAAAAGGCAACCAGTAACCCCTTCATCATCTATGCTCAACAAAAATGCAACCAATTAATCCTAAAAGGGCCGGTCTATTTGAGTTCTTAGTACGGCCGGGGGGCATTATGCCCCTCCCCCTTAAGATCTCAGCCATGAAACGGTCGATCTCCGCGAAAATTTGCACGCGTGTCAAGTTTAAGTGTATAGAATACTATGATAATTTCAATTTTTTGAAAAATTCACTTATTTGCATATATATGGTAATTTATGCAAATAAGGTCATACAATCACATTTTTACCCATAAATCATATATTATTCATATTTAAGCATTCTATTTCACTACATAAATTCATTAGACCATTTGAAATAAAAATACGACAACATTTTTTGGAAGAGCCAGCTTATTCCTTATGTTATCTCTTGTTTTGATAATTTCTTATGTATTTCATTGTTTTTTTAACTTATGTATTTTATTGTTTTTTTGTTTTTTTTTCATTTCTTACTACAATTCAACTATTTTGACTCCCAACACATCCACCTTAAGTTTAAACAAGACCCAATAACCAATGTTTGATCTATTTTTAGAAAAAATAACATTTTCATATGTTTTGTACACAAATCACGAAAATGAGCGATTTTCGGGCTGACATCCAAAGACAAAAGGTCACGTGTAACTTGTAACTGTAGGTCAGATTTTCAAAAAAAATCTTTTAAAAGATGCACAAGACTCGAAATAAAACAATTCTGCGAGCGGTGGGGTGCCATCCATATGCGTTCTCGAATCAAAATTATGAAATGAAACAGGAACCTACTGGAAAGCATAGCTTGTTTTTGTAGTTTTCAAAGAATAAATATAATATGAACATTATTTTCATAAATCATTGTAAAGTGTCTTAATAATCACATTAAAATAGATATAATATGATAACATATTTTCATAAACCATTTTAAAGTATCTAAATAATCAAAATATACAACAACAAAAAGAATGAAAAAACGGGACACAAAGGACAGGAAACTGACATAAAACGATAAGACAAGAAATGACAAAACAGTTCATAACAGGACAAGATAAACAAGGCATGACGGGACAAGATAAAATAATACATGACAGGGCAAAACAAGACTAAAACGAAGCTGCACACTACTGAAGTTAGAAGAAGAAGAAGAGAGAGAGAGAGAGAGAGAGAGAATGTGTGTGAAACAGGGAGATGTGAGAAGTTTAAAATGTAAGAGACATGTATTTTTGTATTAAATTCTTTTTGCACCCTCTACTAAAACAATAATATGTGGGTTTATCTCTAATTGGATCTGAAAGAGAGTTCCGAAGTTTGGAGCCTGTAGATACCAAAGATTTATTTCAGAGCAAAGTTCTTGTTTTTGGTAGATGAAAAAGCCCGGTAGACCGAGTAGGATAATGATAAATGTTAACATTCTTTGTAAACATTGAATAAAAATCATTTGGCAGTTCATTTTTATTTAAATTAACTCTTTCTCTCTTTTCTATCTCCTCTACATCTTTATTTCTCCCTCTTTTGGTCTGTCTCTCCTTCAAAATCACTCTCTTTATTTCCCCCTCTTTCTCTTTCTCCCTTTCTCCTATAATGTCTCCAGCCCTTTTCAGATATTGATATGTCCATGGAAAATAAACACTATTTAACTCTCAGAATTGCGAACCTTTTGCGAAACAAGTGTCTCCTGAGTTACAGACCAGGCTACAGCCCACGAGACCGACAGTGACGGCGTCGTAGGGTTGCGTAGTGTTGCGTACCGACTACGCAAAAGTTAAGCTGCGTACTCATGAATAAATTGATGCTTCGGCGTAGTCCCTGCGAAGGTTATGCGTAGGCTTGCGTGCGATGGCGTATAGTTACGTACCCTGTGCGCAGGCACCGCGTACCTACGGCGTAGGCAATTGGCGTAGGGTTACGTACGCTCGCGTAGGCCTGGCGTAGGGTTGCTTAGGGTTGCGTACGGTTGCTTACTTTGTGCGAAAGTGCCATGTAAAAATGCAATAGACGCTCGTAGGAGCCGCGAGTGTAGCCATTGGTGCTTTATAAACCTAGTTTTCTGCCCTCAATCCACTGCTGCTGCTGTCCAGAACACATCACTGCTGTTTGAATTACAGATGACTGTTGTAATAACACAGGCAGAAAAAGATCATGAGTTGTTTGGGCCCTCGGCAAAAAGGTACAATACTCCAGCATCTGGATGCCTTGGAAAGACTAATTAGTCATGTGGCAGAACATGAACGCTTGGGAGAAGAACAAGAACAGAGAAGGAAAGAAGCTAGAAGAAGAAGAAGAAGAAGAAGAAGAAGAAGAAGAAGAAGTGTGTGGGTAAAACCTTGGATCCAGCGCAAACCCCTGCAGGGGCAATATGAACAGCTGATGAAAGAACTGCTTGCTGAGGATGTTTCTGCATTTACCAATTTCATGCGGATGGGACCACAGGATTTCCATGAACTTCTGAAACGAATTGCACCGAGGATTACCAAACAAGATACTAACTACAGGAAGTCTCTGGAACCTGGTTTAAAGCTGGCTGTCACCTTGAGGTTTCTTGCCACCAGCAACAGCTACAAGACACTTCAATATGGATTCCGAGTTGCCCATAACACTATTTCTGTGTTTATCCTACAAATGTGCCAGTCAATAATCGATGAATTATCTGACGAAGTTCTCATGTGCCCAGATTCTCTGAGGAATGGAAACAAGTGGCCTCGACCACAACCCTTGCCCTTCTTTCCTGGCATTTTTGCAGTAATTAAAGCAGAAATAATTAAATCATGCAAATATAGTTCAGCAGCGACAATAGAGTCCAGCGGGACGAATAAAATGTAGCACTGCAGAAATAGTAATAAAAAGTCCAGCAGGGATCAAGCAGTCATTGTGGCTAGGCTGCGCGCAGGTTGGATCTAGGACGTCTTTTTACGTGTTTAATGCTTCGTCGGACTGGTGTAGGGTAGCGTATTGTTGCGTAGGCTTGGCGTACAGTTGCGTAGTGTTGCGTAGACTATCTACGCCGAAGGTACGCGAAAAAATTAAACATGTTTATTTTTTTGCGTTCATCTCGCGTACCCATTTGCGTCCCTCCGCGTACAGTTGCGTAGGCCGGCGTAGAGTTACGTACGATCGGCGTAGGGTTGCGTACGATCGGCGTAGTCGGTACGCAACTCTACGCAACTCTACGCTAAGCCCGGTGTGAAAGCCCCTCCAGTGTTCGTTTCGTAGGCTATGGGCCTAATACCTTCAGAAAACGAGCATAATGACGAATGCCTCCCTCTATTGGTACCATGCATATTACTTATCGGTTTGTCTTTTACCATTTGTTGCCCCATGTGAACATTACAGAACAGTCATCCAAGACATACATTTTCAAATAGGAAATCTCAGGTCCCAATATTTATTTCCCTCATTTATGGTTTTGGTGTAATGATATTCGATAGTTAATTCTGAGAATGGAATGTGGGCAGTTGAAATTGCAAAATAATATCAAGATCCTATAGTGTTCGACCATGTCATCATAGCTTACGTCATTTTGCAAAGTTTATATCGGAATGTAATTATTGGTACTTTTTTTTGGTGGGGGTGTTGTTGTCGTCGCTGTTGTTTGTTGATTGTTTGGCTTGTTAGATGATTTTAGGGAAACTTTAGGGGAAATGTTTTTCAGTCACCCTAACCCCTCTCCATATCAAGAATACATTTTTTCCTCAGCTATCAGATCTTATGTGCCCCTCAGTTATTGGTAAAAGGAAAACAATCCTTGTCGGGTTTACCAACTTAAAGACCCGTTTAGTTTCATTTTTAAACTCTGTTACCAATAATATGGGACAAAATATTACCCTGCTAAAGGCTGATAAAGTTAACTTATATTACTTTTTGTTAAATTCATCATCATCATCATTTTATTAAATTAAGCATATTCCCTCTTACGATGGGTTCTTCTTGTCTCGGACATCATCCTCATTTTAGCTCAACCGTAACTGACTTATTTATTTCAATAACGTTCGAAGTAAATATTGTCTCGGCACGATTTATCAAGGTGATGGCATTGGTCGTGATTTGTCTGTAGTTTTAGGAGAGTGCTTTTATTCGTTATGCCGTACATGGATATCATGTCCTCAATGCTTCAAAATGGCAGTGCTTTATTTTTCTGAAATTCTCTGCCAGGCGACAAATCTTCTTCTGCTGCTTCTGCACCCAGGTTATGGAACAGTCTTTCTCAATACCTTCGCTCTTTCAAGGATATACTTGGCTTTAGTGACCTGTTTTACTTTTCAAATCCTCATCTATTCGATATACAACTAGCCATAACCCTAGTTTTTCCCAGGTGAATCATGGACGACATAGTCAGTCATTTTTTTAGTCTCATATCCGTCAGTACCTTAGAGTAGGCAGCTGGATATGGGCGGTCTACAAATTCCCAAATTGGATTGGATAACTTCCTGACAAATCTTTTACTCCATTGATATGTATTAATAACTAAAAAAGCATTCAAGGTAGCAAGGTGGTCTATCCTAATAAGTGGACCTGTTTGGACAGCTAGAGTCAAACAAAATAGACATATAAAGTAATAATAAGTCACCATTAGCAATCATAACAAACATATTTGTGACTGTCTACATGTACTTCTGCATGAGAAATAACCTTGCCCCTCTCACATTTTGCCATACAATTTGGATGTCAAGCTAGCCTATTCTGCGCTATAGCTTAGCTCAGCTTAATACACATTGATGAAAACGGTTCTAGAGACTTTGATTTTTTTTTTAATCGGCATATTTCACACAAACTCTGCATAATAGACAACTGTTTGTGCCGAACTAGCTCTGGCCCTTCCTCGTCACCGACTTGGAAAATAGTGGGAGGGGCTTAAGTGTAAAAGTGGTATAAATACCGAAGCTAACCCGTTCCTTGGACAGTCGAAACCACCGAGCATTCATCGTCTAATCAAAGTGATTGCAGAAATCTATCAACACACTTTTCAAGATGAAGTCGTTCTTCGTCATCACTCTAGTTCTATTTTCATGTCTGTGTCTTGTTGGAGTCACCGAAGCCGTTGCAGTTTCAAAGGAAGGAACACAAGATGAAGGTGAGGTTTCTGGGCAGATTTAATTTATATCATTATGCTACTTATCACTGTAAATTTCTACCATTGATGGCTTGTACACAATTGCCGAAATGGGGTAGATGTCCTAACAATACATTTCAAAAATAATGTGTAGGATAGGACAGAGGAAGATATAGGAGGTGGATAAGATGCGAATATATTGATGCATAACAATAACATTTTTCAATGTCAAATGAAATCATTACTTGACATTATGTATATTATTATATTGACATTTTGTTTCTTAATTTGCTGGAAATGAAAATCAATAAAATCCATATGGAGGGAAAAAGTATGGTAACAAAAAATTACTTGAAAGGCCCATGGGCGAAAATTTGTTAAACTTTATTTGAGTGTACGGAGCATCATTATCTCTTGTCTTTTTTGTGTGTCTTTTCGAACACTAAGTAACAATTTAGACTTTCTAATATATATATATTCAAGTTAGCTGATAATTATGTATAATCTATATTATAATTTGAGTAAGGAAATCCGTTGAAATTTTAAAACTTTTAGGGTGCTGCGCGCCTCCGGCTAAAAAAAATGCCACGTGTCATTAGTAATGACTGCAGATTGTTCTAAAGGCTGGGATTTTTAAAATAAGTTGTTTGAAATCTCGAAATGAAATGTAAAAACTCAAAATAGGTCATGAAAGAGGATGGCAACGGATAAAGGTACTTGCGCTGTACAGCGAATGTACACTCTTCAAATTGACCGCGATCGGCTGTCTGGCTTTGCATTCATGTTCCAACCGGTTCTGTCTGGTTCGTTAATATATTCTATTGTTATGGAGATTTTTCATTGTTACATATCGCGCGTAAACTAAATTGATTTTGTGCTCGTGTTTCAACCAATCAGGCTACACCAGCTATTGGGGCTTCGCTTTGATTTTTCCATGAGGAAATCAGAGGGATTATTTTAATCGGTACACACAGGTCGTTGCTGTGTTTTTGTTTAATATTACCATTTGAGTAAAGTACGTGGATGACATCATTAACTGAAATGTAAGATTCTATGAATGCTACATGTATACGATACGGCCGGGCTAAAATTAAGAAAAACAAATGAAATTCCAAAAAGTAGCCTCCATCATCATGAAAAGAACCCCCATGAGAAACCGGAAGGGGGCTCTGTTTTGTAAATTACAAAAAGAGCCACATTGGAAGAAAAAAGAATTGAGGGTTGATTGTCACAAAAAGTAACTACGCTCCTTCACAATTGCTCATAATTTTAGAATTAACCTAGAATCGTTTCAAGATTTCGTGTTGCAAAAGTATTTATATGGTAGTTACGAAACAATGTGTAACAAGAGGTTATCATTAATCCGTGGTTGAAAGCACACATTAATGAATTTTGATTTTCATATTTAAAAAATCGCAAAAGTAAATATTATCATTGCAGATTACTGAGTATTAAAAAAATTCAAAATGCACTGTTTTACAATTGCATTTTTCATTCAAAAATAAAAAAAGAATGAAATATCAATGCATTTGTGTGTTGTATGTGTATTGACTATTCGTGTGTGCAATTGCTGCACATTACCACGTTTGCAGCGCTAAAGGTCAATACGCATGCTGGAGTGGTCTAGACTAGGTCGACAAATCGAACTCTTTCAAGTTACACGGAGTGAAAGGCCGCCGAAGGATGCCCTTTCGCGAGTTGATATTAAGCTACTCCCTCTGATTCTAAGTTAATGTAAACTAACATAATTTATTATATTTTCGTTGATATTTTTTCTTCCTTGTTTTATCTGTTATAAGGATTATGTTTCAGCTAATATGACATTTATGATATTACAGGTAACAGTCACAATAATATTGTACCAAGAACATGTTAAAGTTAAACAAGATTTTGATCGAAATGTTAGAAATAATTGATAATAATAATAATAATAATAATACATTATATTTCTATAGCGCTTATTACAATGTTTCTAAGCGCTTTATATCAAAGTTGTACTTAGATAATAATACATTCAATAACTAATACATTCAATATACTTATCAACCTACAATTAATTCAAAATACATAAGCACAGATACATCTAGTCAATACATATAGATACAATAGAATACAATTCATTGATCACTTTGATAACCAATTGAAATTGTGTTTATTCTTTCTTTCACTCTCACACTCACACTCTCTCTATCTCTCTCTCCCTGTCTCATTTTCTGCTTCTATCCGACTGTCTGTATCTCCCGATATCTCTATGCGCACATCCCTCTTCCTCTCCTACCCACACCATCTATCTTCCTCTCTCTTATTCCTTTTCTCTACCTTTCATTCTCTCTCTTAATTATCCCTGCTTCCCTTTCTCTGCCTCTATCTCATCATATGGATCTTCTGTTATTACAACGCATCCATCCCCTCGTCTCTTTCTCTTCTCGCATGTAGCTTTTGACCCTGAAAACATTCTAGATTCAGGCAAACTGGCCCAGACAGACGAGGATATAATCTCTGAAATTAGAAAACAAGTACTATTCCTTCAGGTATGTACACGTATTTAAAAGTATACATTGTTGCGTTCCATTTAATACCAATTTGTGTAACATCGGACTGAAGTTAGGCTAGGGCCCTGTTTCATAAAAATTGTTATCAAAACAGCAATGATTATAATTACAAAAATAAAATGGTAACAACAACAATGATAACTAGACATATAATACTTGTTTGGAACAAGTATAGGTGGGCTGGTCAACTAAAATTTGACACAAAATAGAGCAAAAATAAGCGAGATACTGCTTAAAAACAATGTCATGTAGATTAATGATGTGAACGAAATTCACCTTCCATAGGCATAACACGCAACTTAAGAAATTTCTGATATGTTCCCTTTAATCGTAATTTTCACTATGATGACGTGATCAAAATGAAAAATGATGACAACTGAGCTTGTAGAGAATTGTCTTAGCTACAACATATCGACATTTGGAAGAAAATCGATCAATATTTACAGAAATACAATCAATTTTACATAAGTATGCTGACTTCATAATATGCAAATTCGTATTTTGAGTTCCAAGGCCATTATCATGATGTCACGATACACTTAATGGCCAAATGAGACATGGAATCATATCTCCGATTCATATTCTATTTAAATATGAAAAAGAATTGAAGGTCACGGTTCATTCCAAAGAGCTATAATGGATTTTGTATAGGCATGTTTTTGCCCATATATGCTATGTATTAAAAAAGCTCGCGCGCACGGACATTTATCTTGAATTGACGCTCATGTTGTTATTAATGGTCATAAAGAGATAGACATGGTATCAGATTCCTCGAAAAAATATGAAAAATATCATGAAAGAAAATAAAATGGCGATTCTATTTTTTGTTATGGTGTTACGCGCGAAAACGCGCGCGCATGCGCGTGTGCGCGATTTTTATAAAATGAGCTGAAACGTATGCAAAAAACATTTGAGACGATTTTGAGCATTTAACAATTTTGCGCGCGAACTGACGCGCGGACGTACGCGCACGCGCGCGTTTTTTGACCTAAAGTTAACCGGACTGATATTGACCTTGATCATGATAAATATGAATGAGAAATACCTTTTGGTTATGAAGATATGATCATGAGTTGATTTTCAGAAAATTTCACAAAATGACGCCTAGATGACGTCATCAGTCAAGGTCAAGGTTGAAAACCTTACCGTGTTTTTTTCATATGCCTATACATATGTGTGCTTTATTTCAAGGCATTTGATTTAGCCATTTTCAAGTTATCTTGTTAAAAAAAAAGTGGTTAGAAATAAAATAAACTAGACATATAATACTTGTTTGGAACAAGTATAGGTGGGCTGGTCAACTAAAATTTGAGACAAAATAGAGCAAAAATAAGCGAGATACTGCTTAAAATTTCTTAAAAAACAATATCATGTAGATTCATGACGTGTACAAAATTCACCTTCTATAGGTATAACACGCAAATTATGACATTTCTGACATGAGGCCTTTAATCGAAATTTTCACTATAATGACGTCATCAAAATGAAAAATAATGAATACTAAGCTTGTACACAATTATCTTAGCTACAACATATCGAAATTTTGAGAAAAAAATCAATCAATATTTACAGAGATACTATCAATTTTCCTTAAATATGCTGTCTTCATTATATTCAAATTCGTATTTTTAGTTCGAAGGCCATTATGATGATGTCAGAATATTTTTAATAGCCAAATGAGACATTAATTCATATTTCCGACTCATTTTCTATCAAAATATGACAAAAAATTGGGGGTCCAGTTCCATCCCAAAGAGCTATAATAGAATTTGTATAGGCATGTTTTTACCCATTTATGCTATGTATTATTAGAGCTCGCGCGCGAGGACATTTATCTTGAATGGACGCTCATCTTGTTATTAATGGTCATAAAGAGATAAACATGGTATCAAATTGTTTGAAAAAATATGAGAAATATCATGAAAGGAAAAAAATGCGCGTGTGCGCGACTTTTTTTAAAATAAAATGCTTACAATGGCTTGAAACGTATGCAAAATTATTTTGAGACGATTTAGAGCATTTTCAAATTTTGCGCGCGCACTGACGCGTGGACGTACGCGTACGCGCGCGTTTATTGACCTGAAATTGATCGGACGGATATTGACCTTGATTATGATAAATATGAATGAGAAATAACTATTGGTTATGAAGATATGATCATGAGTTAATTTTCACAAAATGGCCCCTAGATGACGTCACCAGTCAAGGTCAAGGTTGAAAACGTTATTTTGATTTCTCTATATGCCTATACATAATGTGTGCCAAATGTCAAGGCATTTGATTGAGCCATTTTAAAGTTATCTTGTTCACAAAAAAGTTGGTCGAAAAAAGAAAAATAAATAAATAATAAATAATAACAAAGGCAATTTTAACAAAAATATAAGGTGGTCTGTATTAGATACAGCCCACCTGATAATTACACAAAATAACATTAGTAACACCACCAACCATAATAATAAGTGTCATTATTATTGTGATACTGCTTCTAGTACTACTCCTACTACATGTACTAGGACGAAGGAGGGGAAGAGGAAGAATCTTATTGTTTATTTTCTGTATTATCGAGGCATACAAATGCACAGGGAGGTAAGAGAGGGAAAAGTAAGGCGACGAAGAGGGAGTGAGAGGGAGAGAGAACGAGAGGGGGTAGCCTATGGCCCGGGTTCAAATTCAGTTCTCTTTAATTTATTTGACCCAGTACTGATGATCATAATTTTATCTACCATGTGATTGCCATGTGTACGCCACACCGAATAGCACTAGCTCACATTTTTTTTTATTGTTGTCAAGAACTTATTGGCATGCAGCTAGTAGATTTTGATCATGTGTTTGATCTTGTATTGAAAAAAAGATCAAACACGTCATCATAATCTACAGAGTGCAACCAAACATTTCTTAACAACAATTGAAATTTCTTTCAGGAAGCCTAACACTAAAAGCTGTTTTTGATTCAAAGAGCATCGTAGAGACGATGAACAAATAAGAATAATAATACATTCACTTCTATTTTCCCCGCCAAATAATCCGAACAAAAGAATCAACCGAGGGTAATCAACTGTTCAACGAATTTATCATGAGTCCTTGACAAATTAATTAATACTGCTTGTCAAATATTATTGAAGAACAGCAAAGGCGAACGCGATTGTCGCTACAATTCAGAAATCATTGCTTGCATTGCTTTTCTCTCAAAATTACCGTGAGATATCAAGCTACATAGAACTATGATCGACAAAAAAGATATTGTCTTGAAAACAGTCAGAAACATTAGAACTTGAATAAATAAAACATAATGCAAATGAATAAGACTAGAATGAATAGGACACAAGTTCATTTCTACCATTTAAATCATCACGTACCAAATACCTAAGCAAAATTCGAACCAGATGCATTTAATGGTAAGCTTAAAGACAATGATTCATGACAATTGTCAATTGTCGTGAGTTTATCGTCTATATAGACGTATTGCAAAAGATAATCAGGATAATAAGGATCAGAATGATAACTCTACTACTAGGCCTACTTCTACATGACTATACTATACTACTGCCATTGTAGATTATGCTGATAATACAGATGATAATAAGGATATGATAACAATTATAACTAGACTTTAATTCGTCACTTTGACGAATTAGGTGATACGTATGCTATTTTTGTATCATGAAAGTGTGCCGATGATGATCTAATGATAATATTCATAAATACGATAATGACGATATTGATGATGATTTATTTGTTTTAAATGACGATGACAATGATTAAAAGTGGTATAGCGCGCCCTTCAGGTATTCGATAGACAATTGTTATATGATTAAACTATTAATTTACTAAACAAGCTCAAATTTTCGCCTGATTGCAGAGCCTACCAACCATTGAACCGATATTTCGACGCACTACATACGCAACATAATGAACAAGTCTAGACTGGAATGTAGTATCATTCACCTCCCATAGGCATAAGACGCATATTAAGCAAAAAATATAATGACGTCATCAAAATGAATAAATATTGGTAATAATCTTGTGAAGAATTGTCTCAGCTACAACGAATCAAAATTTAGAAAAAAATTGATCAATATTTGCAGAGATTTTCTGTAAATATGTTGACGTCATAATATGCAAATTCGTATTTTGACTTCCAAGGCCATTATGATGACGTTAAAATGTACTTAATGGTCAAATGAGAAATGAATCATATCTCCGACTCATATAATCAAAATAAAAAAACAATTGGGGGTCTAGGTGCATCCCAAAGAGCTGTGATGGATTTTGTGTAATCATGTTTTTGCCCATATATGTTATGTATTACATGTGCTCGTGCGCACGGCAATTTATCTTAAACGGACGCGCATTCCGTTATGAAATATCATGAAAGAACAAAAAATAGCGTTTCTTTGTTGTGTAATGGCGTTACACGCAAAAACGCGCGTGGAAATTTTCGAAATTCTTTAAATGGCCTAGAACATACTCTGTTTTGATTAAAAAGTGAATTTGAGCATTTTGAAATTCAGACGCGCGCGGATTTTGATGAGATGTTATGTCGAACCTTGACCTGAAGTTCATGTGTTTTAAATATGGTTCAGTTTTGATGACTCGATATGAAGATATGATTAAAAGTTGATTTCCACAAAATAGCGCCTGGATGACGTCACGATGATCTTGAGTTACTGAAAAGTGTCACAATTCTAAGTTATACTAATATCAATCATCATGGCAAGTTTCATGATAATGGCTTTATTCATTCATGAGATATCCTGCGAACAAATTAATGGCAGAATAATAAATGGGAATAATAATAACTTGAATTTGTCACTTTGACAATTTAGGTTATACGTATGCTAATGTTTTAAATAATGAAGAATGTATTTTCACGATTTTATACTATCTTCTAAAATGCTCTTCCTATTAAAGGTAAAGACCAGTATTGGAAACGCCCCAATTTCAAAAAATGAAATGGAAGCTCTTATTACCAATCATGT